ATTTTATATAGATAGCTAAAACAGTATCACTAGTATTCACAAGCCTTATCTATTTTGACGATAAGCATAGAGTTTAACGATACTTTTTTCCAAATACATGTAGAAAACCAGTGGAACCATTGAAAACCATGAAGCTCTCAACAGTCATTTCTACCCAAAATAGGAGTCTTCAGCAACACACACTCATGATACCACTAGGGGTCAAACCGGTTTACTTAGAACGTCCAGGATTCAACTACTGATGGTTTCGTGGGCGAAGACTCTCAATGGAATTATCTGCCAGCAACCTGATGTGCAGATACTAGCAAAATAAGTCAAGCTTATACTAGAGTCACAATATGCACGTGTTGCATCGGTGGCACAACGGCAGAATGCTCCCCAACCATGCGGGTGGTTCGGGGTTGGATCCCTGCCACAGACGCACTCCTTTTCCTCACTAATAATAAGACTGGTAAAGAGGGGAGGTTGGGCATGAGGCTGGCAAACCCATCTCGTAAAAATAAACACCACTGCTACCGAAATTTCAAAGCTCTAGGTTGAAGCTCAATGTTCTACTGGGAAAGGAAAGGAGAAAACTAAAAATTAGATAATAATTTGAATATATCTTTAGTATTGTGCTACTCTTGTCTTCTGTATTGTGCCTCTTTATCTTTCTTTCATGTTTTCCATTTGTTGTTTCACGAGCATCATTCACATTCATCTCTCCTATTCACTATCCAATCCATTTCTCTGCTATTCGATATTCTTACACTTGATATACATATTTATATCTGTATCTATATGCTACTTATTAATCTTTTCAGTAACATATACCACAGCTAAAGTTCCCAAGATGTAAGAGGATGTGAGTAGTATATGACTACTAATTTCAGTTAATCAGTAGCTTATAGTTTTATGCAAATATACTCGTTATCTTCATTTCCTTATAGCCTTTATCAACGGACCAATATCAACTGGTGAAGAGAAATCCAAAATCCAGATAATACTGGGTAGTTGCACCAGGATTGGGTTTACAAGTGGATAGAGGATAATCAGGTCTCGTTAGCAAATATATATAAGAACCCACTATCTATTTGTTTCATAACGTATTGTTACAATCAATAAATCAGAACTATATTTTTAAGGGTTTGTCAGAAAGTCAGCCACCGCCTTCCTCAACGAGCAGTGTTGGATGGCATCGGATTTGGTTAGAAAGGCATTAAGTAGTGGTCAAACTAAAACCTTTATTAAATCCACGATAGTTGGTTAGAAGCAGCCAGGTCAGAAGGTGAAGACTACCTGGCTGGAGATATCTGGAGATGCTCATCAATGATGGCCGGGGATTGTTGGTGATGCGATTCAAATTCATTGTCAGTGGCACAGATACATTTTTGGCGAGTGCTACTGATAAGATTTATCAGTAGTATGTATGTAAAGAGATGTTCATCGGTATAGGAAACATCGAATACCAGGGAGATACATTTGATTTCAGAGAAGGCAAATGATACAATTTTGTGGACATACATGGGAAACGCGAACGGAACACAGAGAAATACAATATGAAGGTAGGCCAGAGGTACTACAAAACGCAGACCTGTGCAAATGGTGCATTGAAGATAAGATGTACATAATTTTGCTATATAGAGATACTAATTTCCTTTACCGAGTCTTACGTCTTCTACCGTTTCACATTCACTGTATGTAATCTCTCATATCCATTAAACTGTTGTATTTTTCCATTTTACTATTCTGTCTTTCTACTACAAATTTCTGGTCATTATAATTCTTTTTGATTGGTTGGAAGATTTCATCATCAGCTGGCATCAGTTAGATAACCATTTGAAAACCTTGGAGTACTGGATAGCTGTTTTGTCAGCCTAGTTTGAGACTCTTTATCAGTACACACCTCTCACCAGGCTGCGAACTCAGGCGCTTCTGAATACAAGGTGAGCTCTTAGACCATTAGGCCGACCACTGGGATCCGATCCAACGGCCCATGAATTCTTTTTCTTCATACATTTATTTCCATTTATCAATCTGAATAAAGCAAGAACAACAGTTCTTGAAAAATAAAGTGGTACCATCATTTATTTCGTTGGTTTCTCATCAGCTCAGCTGCTTACAGCACGGAGACATTATTAAGTATATCTACGGAAACAATTTTAACACACTTGCACAGAGAGTTTATTTTTAAACGGAAATCAATAATATACACATACAACGTTAATAATAATAATCACTTTATCCCAAACACAATTAAAACCTATAGCATTATGTAATAAGATGAAAGAGAGGGTGAAAACATCCAGTTACCAGACAGGGCAAAGAAAGACTGATAATGGCTTCCTTCTGAACGCATAAGTCGGGTAACAGGTTACATTGGAAGAGCAGAAAGAAGGGTATACCTACGATTTTCCGAACATATACCAAAAAGCCTATGTCACAAGGGAAGAAGTACTTTAAATAATGCCATCGCCAGGCATCTTCTTGACACGGGTCATGAGGTGGACGTCGAAAAGTCGTTCAAAATTATCAATAAGCAAAAGAGTTCAATGCTCCTTAAGTTTGCTGAAGCAATCTCCATCAAGCGCCTGAAACCTGATTTATGCGTTCAGAAAGAAGTGGTTGACGGTCTTTCATTACCCTGTCTGGTAACTTGATATTTTCACACTCTCTTTCATCTGACTAAGTAATGCCAAAAGTTTCCATTGTGCATGAATATTATTGTTTGGGATAAAGTGTTTATTATTCTTAGCATTGTATGCATATATTGATTGGTTTAAAAATGAACTCTGTGTGTGCAAGTATGTTAAAATTGTCTCTGTACATGAACTTAATAATAATTATTATTTATTTAGGCCGTGAGTAGCTGATGAGAAGCCAACGAAATAAGCAATGGTGGTAGCATCGTCTTTTTCTGCACAACCTACTGCTTGTGTTCTTGCTTTATTCAAATAATTCTTTTTCTATACCTTTGTGTGCTACGGGGAGTGTAGCCTACCTAAGCACCACTTAGTATGGGGTTGACTTGGAGGTCAATGTCCACTCAGGAAATAAGCCAATCAGAATAATGTCTGAATAAAATAACGCCCACTATTTTATTGATCATGATTATAGACCAATTTACACATCTATGGTGATATTTTGAATCCTACATTATTTGCGTAAAAATATACTTTTCGGCTGACGTCGTAGTGAAGGTCTGGGAAAACAGGTAGCTATCGTATAATGCTGTTGGTGCGTTTAAGAGATAATCGTGATCAGCGCATCCCTATTTCAGTCTTGACGTATTGCGAAACGTAACACGTAAGTAGAGTAATATTGTAAACACAAGTGTACAGGTGATAAATACGTGCCGACACACACACACACAAACTCCCAGCAGAAAACCACTCTCAGAAACTACAAGAAAATTCATCCTACCAAATACTAAAACCATTTTTAGAATGGATATCATACACAAACCAACACAATCACATCATTCCATGAAATGTGGATCAAAAGATCGGATAGTAAAGGAAAATCAGATCACCATGATTTACAAAATAAATTGCACGAATTATGAATAACACTCAATTAATCATAATCACCATAACCCGGAACCCCAAGTCCAGGAGCATAAACAAGCCATTAAAAGATTTACGCAGACAACTATGCATACCAGTTGACTGGGGAAATTGTAGGGAAAATGTGCGTGCTGAGGAAGAGTTCCAAACTAGGACGAAACAGCTGTCCAGTACACTCTAAGTGGGCTTCCAAAGGTTCTCTAACTGATGTCAACTCGTCATGAAATCCTTCAACCAATCAAACAAAATCCCTTCAAAAACCAATACTTGAAGAAGTCTTTTAGACTTTAGAAACACCGAAAATGCTTAAAACTTCGTAGAATCCTCATATTCATCGACTGAAAGACACATTAGCATAGATCGGATGGACGAACCAGCAAAGAATAAGCCTCATGACAAGAAATGTCAAATCAAAGTTAAAAAACACGATCAATACTGATGCAAATTAACCACCAGTCACAACCGAGATGGTTAGGATATAAAATTATGCGATCCAACCCCTCCTCGTACAGTTTGTCAACTCGCGCATCTTACCTATTCTTCTTTACTGTTCACCCTTATTCTTTCCTGGATTGCTTAAAAAGGACTATGTCATACTTCGTAGAACTCTGAAGAATGTCGGTCAGTAGGGCGAGTGGTATCCTATTGGGCCATATCGTTGGAATTGTCACTGATAGGCATTTGATGTCATGCAACAAATTCGCTAAAGGAATTTTGTCAGACTGTGAGCATCCACAGCAGCACCCACAGCTTCAACCTTGTGTCTCCTCAGGTAAAACAAGAAATCATTTCAGAAGACTTTATGCACGTACATCTAAGTATAAAAATTCCATTATACCATATTTGACGCCACGTACTTTATGTGATGAAAATAGTGTTAGGCATGAAGTAACTAACTTACTAACCTTCTTTGCACTACTAAATAAACCATTTCCCTGCACCCTTACAACATCAACCTTTATTGTTATTGTACTTCTTATATTTATAATCCTCTCAATTTTTTATTTTTATTTGTTTATTTTTTCATAAGTGTGAACCTCATCATTTAAGCTGTGTTAGAACTGTTAATTTTGTAGTTCCCCTCACCATACTGAATCGCCAATGCTGTTTGAAACAAACTCACTGTTATTATTATTATATTTAATATTCTCAATTCGTACTTCGAATATTTTTGACTATATATCGTAAATGTGGACAAATTCCTCCTGGTTAAATTTTGTTTTAATTTTAAATTCTATTTATATTTTGAATAAATTAGATAAAATATTGTGACAAATGCTGAGAATTCCATTCTGTATTATAAGTTCTGTCTGTTTTGGAATAAAGCAGATTATTATTATTATTATTATTCATAGAGGGTGTTGTCTAGAAGGGCAACAATGAGAAATTCACAATTAAATCAATCAGCTCAGAAAATGCAATCATAACAAAATACCCCAGTATACATCAACTTACCTTCAGTAAATGAGTAATCCTTAAATGAATTGTCACCGTTATTATTATTATTTACATTTTGACATAACTTTTCATACACATATTGTTCTCTATCAATACGTCCTTTTGTAACTAATTTATACTGATCAATAATTTGAAAGTGTTGATTTTCATTCAATATATTCAACACTATAATCTGATTGTTTAAATCGCCTGATGTATTTTTTGGCGCGTACTTTTCAAGCAGAAAATTTAAATCACATACAAATGTACTAATGAGTATTTCTTCAGTGACAATACACTGATTATTATTATTATTGTGGCTGTCATCTGCTGTGATGATGGAAAGGATTAGTGCAGAAATCAAACATTTGATTATGTAATACAAATAATAACAATTGACGATAGACATGGAATGAATATTCTTTATTTATTTGATCAAGTATACCGGTTTGGTTAATAGATGTCACTTGTGAAAAATTACTTCCGAATTTGAATTCATCGAATCATTTATAGCTATTATATGCAAATATTTTTTTTTTGAAAAAAAAAAGAAATTATCTCAAGGTTCTTCTTCTTCTTTTGCAGATAAAAGAAAAACTTTCTATCTGTACGATCAACAGTAGGAAATTTGTGATTTCTTTTTGATGAAAATAATATTTTCCTAAAGTTTTCTAAAAATGTAAACGATCATAAAACTGTTTTATTTGCATGGTTAGTCGTCACATACATACATACAACCATACACACGTGCATGCATCCATTTACTCTCGGACGCATGCACTCACTCACTCACAAGCACACATACATACTCACACTAATGTACAAAAATTCCAGCAAGCTGATTTAAAGTACTAATTGAATACTGCTACTCAACGCTTTCATTTGAATTATTTACTCCGCACTACTACTACACTACTCACTACTTTTATTATTATTATTATTTATCCTCTAAATAATTTGGTATTTAAATGTGCACATCATTTTCAATGTGTAGATAAGACAGCGTATAGGCATGCACGTGCGTGCGTGTGTATGTTTGTGTCTTTATGTATAATAAAAGTGTGTCCGTTATTATTATCATTATTATTATTAGCTGTCATGATTGTACGCACGAGGTGTATGTTTGTTTATGTGTATCTACTATTAAACACGTACGCACACACACAAACAATTTGTGTGCGTTAATCACTAGGTTTTATCAACTTCCAATAGGAGAGATGGATAGGTAGACAGACATTGGTGAAGATTGTCTGTCTATCCATCAGTAAATGCATTAATGTATGTACGTGTGTATGTGTGTGTCTGAACCAGCAAAGTAGGAAAGGAATGAGATTAATACAAAATACACCGATGGTTTTATTTTGATATTGTGAATAGATGAATGGATAGTCATAATAATAATAATGATAATAAGTGAAGGGATAACACAGTTGATTAAATTTACTCGTTGTGCATACCTACGTCAGCTTACTTTGCTACTTCTCCTTTGTACGTGTACGTGTGTGGGTGTGTGCACGTGTGTGTGTGTGTGTGGTGTTTATATATTAGCACCACTACTTTTGGATGAAAATAAATCTCGTTTGAACGCACACGTGTTCTGTCACCATGGTGATGATAACAAATAATAGTGATAATAGTTTCCCAGAGTTAGTTCGTAGTAGGAATTTCGGCTGTTTCAAGTCTCATCAGGTAGTGTTGATATCAATAAGTTAGGGTACATGTTGAAAATCAGCAAGCAGTAATGGACAGGTGTTTGGTCCTACTTTGGGACTTTTCAGTAGTGCACACCAGTGACCTCATCAGGGACCGCACAACAACATGAGCCAAAAAGTGTACTTCGGCATCAGTCACAGCATAAACAATAATGTACGCTTCAAAATATCACCAAGGATGTGTCAATTACTGTATAATCGTAATCAATAAAATGGTCATGGGCGTTATTTTACGCAGGCCAATTCTGATTGGTGCGTCGGTGGCACAGCGGTAGAATGCTCGCTAACGACGCAGGTGGTTTGGGGTTTGATCCCCGGCCACAGATGCACTCCCTTACCTCGATAAACCAGTAATAAGACTGGTGAAGAGGGAAGGTCGGGCATGAGGCTAGCAACCCCATGCCGTAAAAATAAACACCACCGCTATAGAAACTTCAAGCCTCTAATTTGAAGCCCTATGTTCCACTGGGAACGTAAAGGAATAAAAAAATTCTGATTGGCTTATTTCCAGACTGACTATGATCACTATATCATCAATAAATGATAATCCACTTTTTATATGCTTATATGTCACTCCGTATAGAAAAGACATATTACTTGGGTTCAGTCTGGAACCACACCGTTTATTTTCTGTACCTGGCTGACTGACGTCAAGGCAGCGGTCTCCTGTTTACTGGAAGGTCAGCAGCATTTCTGGTCTCCTCCCAATCAGAAATTGAGAAGCTGTGACACACTTGAGAACAGTTGATTGTTTGAGACGGTAGAGTTTGGCCTCGCCGGACCAGCCTCCAAAGCCTCAGGATGGTCGTGAGTGGGTGCCTTGCACTGCGGGTTGGCCACCCCTCCGCACACCTCTTCAAATGCTCCCATATGACCGGGCGTCTTACATAGCCTCTCCTGAGGAAGTCCTACTCACTGCTTTCACGTGGCGGAGGTGTTTTTCACCAAAGTGAGAGGGCGAAAGCGGATGCCCGGCGCTCTTCACCGGGTTGACTGTCCATTGGATGACAGTCTAGGGGAGGTGGCTAAACCCTGATTCCAAACCTCCAACGACTCACTGGAGCTCACCGGCAGACGTATGGACAAAGGGCTTGTTGGATGTCCTGGATGTCTGGCCCCATTCAACAAGGCGTATGAACCGAACTCCGGTCACCGGCTGCCAATGGATAGTGGACTCCCTACTCCACTCCTACTGCCTTGTAGGTCACACTTGGTTGTGTAAAGGCTAGAGCTGCACTCTCAAACAAAAGGCCGAGCGATTCTGGGGACATCACCCGAACCAAATTCCCATGAAACTTCATGAACTCTCTTCATCAGGTCGCCGCGCCTGGGCAGCGATGATTCGAGATGTTCATGAAGCCGGCTCATCCTCCCGTAGGAGATAGCCGAAGTAAAGTAAAGTACCTAGCTCAGGGCTCTTTGGTCAGGAAACAGGGTTACCACCATCCACGGGAGGGTGTGAAGTCCGAACTCTGAGAAATCTTTGGCAGATAGGTGCTGACTAGGGACGGCGTCTGCAGAGACTTTTCGAGGACGGCCTCTGTTTGTGTCTATAGATACAACCATCTTTGTGTCTAATATTATCGCAGTCTTGAAACCGGTGTTGCTTACATGGTTCTCTAAATGATATCAGTTCATGGCCAAGCTTGAAATAAGAATGCCGATGTATGAATTTCTCTTAGTATTATTTTATTCATTAAAAATTTTAATTATTTCCTCTTTTACACTCTTCGATGTCACCAAAACTTAACAGCAGAATTTTGTAGAAAATTTGAAAATTCCGAATATTGAAACATTGAATATATATGTGGTATTGACTATTGATGAAAAAGTGCAGATAATTTCAAATAAACCAACTCAAAGATTAATTGGACACGAGTCACAAGTGTAATGTGTCTAGTCCTTTCTTCGGTGCAGACTGAATTCTATCAGTCAGTCAAGTTTGCAATGTGGCCACCATTCCACTAGGTGGCTCACCATCACGGTGCACATTGATTTGACGATATTAGATAGTTGGAGGCAGTCGGCCACAGGAAGCCTTGCTTGACCTAGGTTTCGAATTAACTGACACTCACCAGTAAGCAAGGCGTATCTGCAACCTCGTCCGAACTGATGTCCCTTCTGAGATTCAAACCTAGGATGGTAGCCACATTGCAAACCGGACTGATAGAATTCAGTCTGCACCAAACAAAGGACTAGACACATTACACTAGTTACTGACTAGTGTCCAATCAAAGTATCCAATACAGTTCTACAGGAGATCAGTCACGAGCCCGAATAGCTCAGTGGTAATGTCCGTGACTGTAGGCCTGGGTGATGCGGTTTCAAGTCTTAGGAGGAACATGAGTTCTTTCAAGGTAATCTCAGATACTCCTTGGTGACTGGTGAGCGCCAACTAGCACGAAACCTAGGCGGAGCAAGGCTTCCTGTGGCCGATTGCCTCCGACCATCTAATAATAACTCAAAGATTACTAAGTTACTTCATCTAAGCAACCAAATTAGGGAAATTCAAGGGTACTAAGTGTAGAACGTCAATAAAATTATGCTAAATAGGCGGAAAAACACAGGAAATCATAAAAAACCCAACTTAACCAATGAATACGAGCGTATACGACTTAGAATCACTTAAATGGTTAGGTTTTTCCAGAAAATAGTTAGAATTTAAAGTAGAATTAAACACACAAGGGGGGTTTGCAAGAAAGAAAGAAAAAAGAGTCTCCGAGCTGAGCTGACAGACCACTGAAATCAGTAATTCTGAGACATCCTGTTTAAATAATATCAAGTCATCATCAAATGCATCAATAACTGACCAATTACAGGACGAAAGTGCCTGCAGTTCTAGTAAGAAGTCATGATCAGTGTGGTTCACCAGGTCTGGTGTGAGGAGAAATACGCTCCGATGACACTGGCTGGTGGTCGCGCTAAAATCATGAACTGGTAAAAACTGGATTTCATACATTGGTCATTGGATTGGGTCCCAGTATCCTTCCTTGTGATTGGAAGGTCCCTGGTTAGAACCCTTCCGAGTGCATATAACTGAAGGGTCCCAAACAAGAACGAAACGGCTGTCCAGTGCTACCTGGTTTTCAGCATTTCTCTAAAGGGTGTCAGCTCGTGACTAAGACTGAAACTTTAGTAACAGACCAGAGTTGGTAGACTTTCTCAAACTGTTTCATCATCAGTACTACTGTCCGTCAGAACAACCGATTTTTAGCATTTCCGAACAAACTTTCATCTAAAAGGCGCATAAGTTCTCTGGAGTTCGACTGCTTACAACTTGTTGGATAGCAGTTATAAAATCGATGCATTAAAGACCCGTTAGATTACCACAGTTCAAGACAGTTCCAGGTTAGCGTGTATCGTGGAAGCGATTACCACTCACTGAAGGATTAAAACAGATTCTTACTGTATCCAGGAGGAAACTGTTGTTATTAATAATAATAATTTGCTTTATTCCAAAACAGTACATGTGATACAGAATGGAAATCTCAGGATTTCACTACAGTATTGCATCCAGTTAGTACATTATCAATAAATAGAATTCTACATAGATTAAGGAAATCTCAGTTCATTATGACAACAACATATTGGCGTGTCGGTAGCAAAGCAAAAGTTGAGCGGTGTTTGAAGGTGTTAGAAATGTAAGTGCTATCATATTTACTGGCGTAAGTGGGAGAAAGAAACAAAGCAGCACATAACGGAAAAAAAGAGAAAAAGAGATAGAGAGAGGATAGGAAAAGAAAGAAAGAGAATGTTGTACCTATAAATGATATTAGTTGGAAAGGCGAGGTCCAGTTGTTCTACTGACTATTTAGTAAGTTATAGATATCACGCCTAATGCTTTCTTTATCGCACAGAACACGAGCTAAGTAGGGAATGGTTGAGTTTTTGTACTTGCTGGTGCGAGCATATAGTTTTCTATAAAGGCTTGTGGTTTCACCTGATGAGATACAAGAGGAGAGTTGTGAATGAAGAGGGTGGTGTGAGTTAGATAAAGTGGATTTGGCCTATTTTTCACATGAGTCCAAGTGCCTGCCG